CAAAGGGAATTCCAGTGATAGGCCAGTTTATATTTCGGCGCGAATACAAAATACAAGTGATTGGTTATTTTAACATAGTTTTACAGGTCATTGGTGGGTTCATACTTTGGTTTTCTGGCGGGAGTGTGGATGACTGATGTAATTTTCCAGGAACTGGGGGCCGCCTTTTTACTGGTCTTAATGGCGGCCTCTCTTTGTCATGTTGAAACATTAAATTTTAATTCCACACCTGCAGTATCTTTTAGCAAGGCCCCTAGCCCCTTGTGGCTGGGACTTGTTTGCATGGGGACCCACCCTGCATTGACTATGAAGGGGCAGTGGGCACAGCTATGGGGAATGGGGTCCACAGAAATCTATCTGGGTCTATGATGAGACCTAGTCATAGAAAACCCAGGAGTCTTGGATGGAGAAAAAGGCTAGCTAGAGGAAGAGAGGAAAGGAAGGAACTCTGGTGGTGTACTGCCTAAGGCATTTGACTGTTAAACAGAAACCTAGTGGTTCAAACCCACCAGCCACTCCTCAGAAGGAAGATTGGACAATCTACTTCCATAGAGATACCAACTCAGAAACCCAAGGAGGAGTAATTATGAGTTAGAATCAACTTGATGGCAGTGAGTTTGGTTTGTTTTTGTTTTGTTTTGTTTTGTTTAGAAGAAAAGACAAGGATTAAAATTCTATAGGGTGGGAGGGATAAAGCAAAGGGAGCAAGAACAATCCTAGCAGGTTAGAAAGGAGTGAGCCATCAGGCTGGACTATAAGCAGGAAGCTACAGAGACCAGAAAAAAAAGGCAGCTTTGCTGGGGGCTGCTGGAGTTAAGGAGTGGGAAGGAAAAACCTCAGAATCAGAACTAGACAGACTAGGTACAGGCCACACAGAGGGGACCATGGAGGGCTCCCAGGATCAGGAATCAGGTGTGTTGTTGTTATGTGCCATCAAGTCATCTCCGACTCATAGCTACCTTACGTACAACAGAACAAAACACTGCCCAGTCCTGAGCCAGCCTCACACTCCCTACTATACTTGAGCCCATCATTGCAGCCACCGTATCAATCCATCTCCTTGAAGGTCTCCCCCTCTTTCGTCGACCCTCCACCCTACCAAGCATGACATCCTTCTCCAGGGAATGGTCCCTTCTTACAACATGACCAAAATAGGTGAGACGAAGTCTGGAGATTCTTGCTTCCAAGGAGAATTCTGGCAGCACTTCTTCCAGGACATATTCGTTAGTTCTTTTAGCAGTCCATGGTACTTTCAACATTCTTTGCCAACACTGCAACTCAAAAGCTTCAACCCTTCTTCGATCTTCCTTATTCATTGTCCAGCTCTCACATGCATATTAGGCTACTGAAAATACCATAGCTTGGGTTAGAATCACCTTAGTCTTCAAGGAGACATCTTTGCTCTTTAGCACTTGAAAGAGGTCCTTTGCAACAGATTTGCCTAATGCAATACATCTTTTGATGTCTTGACTGCTGCTTTCATTGGTGTTGATTGTAGAACTAAGTAATATGAAGTCTTTGACAACTTCAATCTTTTCTCCCTTTACTGTGATGCTGCTTATTGGTCCAACTGCAGGATTTTTTTCTTTATATTGAGGTGTAATCCATACTGCAGACTGTAGTCTTTAATCTTCATGGGGAAGTACTCCAAGTCATCCTTTCAGCAAGCGAAGTTGTGTCGTCTGTGTATCGCAGATTGTTAATGAGTCTTCCTCCAGTCCTGATGCCATGTTCTTCAAAAAGCCAAGCTTCTCTGATTATTTGCTCATCATATAGATTGAATAAGTATGGTGAAAGGATAAAACCCTGACACACTCTCCTCATAATTTTAAACCATGCAATATCCCCTTGTGCTGTTCAAACAGCCTCCTGGTCTATGTACAGGTTCCTCATGAGTACAATTAAGTGTGCTGGGATCCCCATTCTTCTCAATTGTGGTAGTTAAGTCTGTGCGTCAACTTGGCTGGGCCTGGTTGAGTGACTGGGCAGCTGGATGTAGTAGTCCCCATGATGAAACTGGTAATCAACTCCATGGTGAAATCTACTGTGAGCAGCTGAGTAGCTGCCTTAGAGATGTGGTCTGCTTCCTGTATATAAGGAGAAACCTTGGAGAATGGTCTCTAGCTTATGGCACACTTGAACCCTGCATGTAGCCATGTTGTTGTTCAGCAGCCTGCCATGCTCTGCTGACCTTGGGACTTTCAATGGGCTTGAATTAATGGCCTGCCGTGTAGTTTGGTAACATCAGGACTGTGCCATTTTATTGGTCAGCCTTGGGCTTGTCAGCCTCAGCAGCAGTAGCTGAGTGAAGAAAAGCCTCCAGCTTCAAGGGGGGACCAGGAGGCAGAGCTGAAGCCCAAGGTTGAGGGGCTTTCACCCAGCCTCTAGAACCTGGCACTTTGAATTCAGACTTATAGCCTCCAAACTGTAAGAGAATAAACTCCTGTTTCTTCAAGCCATTCCATTTGTGGTGTCTTCTGTTAGAGTGGCCCAGGTAACCAAAACATAGATGTTATCCACAATTTGTTATGATCTACACAATTGAATGCCTTTGCATAGTCAGTAAAATACAAGTAAACATCTTTCTGGTAGTCTTTGCTTTGAGCCAAGATCCATTTGACATCAGCTATGATAGCCCTTGTACCACATTGCCTTCTGTATCCAACTTGCATTTCTGGAAATTCTCTGTCAATATACTGCTGCAACCATTTTTTTGAATTGTTTTCAATAATATTTTACTTGTATGTGATATCAATGATACTGTTCAATAATTTCCACATTCTGTGGGATCACCTTTGTTTGAAATGGGCACAAATATGGATCTCTTCCAGTCAGTTGGCCCGGTAGCTGTCTTCCAAATCTCCTGTCATAGCCAAGTGAGTGTCTTCAGTGCAGCATCCATTTGTTGAAACATTTCAATG